AAAAACTCGCGTATGTTGCCTAGTCGGAGTACATTGTTTTTGAATAGTTTGACTCTACACAATCCTGTTTTATATAATTACCGATGGATTTCTCCATATTTCACTTCCGTTACGAATTACCTGTCTCGAGTCTCAATACTTGTCCACCGTATGTTTCTTTACGTCTTGCGCCCCACTGCGTTATGCTCCTGAGACAGAGATTTCAATTTCGTGTCGCGATCATTAGTGTCCCGTCTGTACTAGTATAGTCTACACCGAGTGACGCCAGTTCACAGTTAGAGGCTGAGACAAAGAATGTTTAATTAGCCTGTGTGTCCGCCGTGTTGACTCTCGCGCCTACTGCCGCCGCACCACCGCAGTCGTTGATTCTCAGAATACATACCGAGAACAATTTTTACACTCTATTATTAGTTTCGATAGTACCCCGTGAAGTGTCGAGACTATCGTGATAATTTTCATTCGAAACCGATAATATCATTCAGGTGTAAGCCAACACCGGCGCTGTCCAGCCGAGTGTCCACACCGTATTTATCACTTCCGTGGTCGCGACAAAACATCGGTAATTGAGCGATCAAACCACATACATAACTCGCACAAACTATCATGTTACATTACAACCCTAGCTCATTGACGCTCCGTCTTTACAAATTTCGCCTCAGCAACGGTATTTTCCTTCTCCTTATCGACGGACACCGGCAAGAGAAGGACAGAGCGCAAGTGACCACAATGTTTGTGTAGACGAAGTGACCGCGGCAGGTGGAAGTACTGACCACCGGTCACTGGAGCTATCAAATTACCGAAGATGTGAACCGATGGGAAATTTATAGGGCACCGAAGCTTGTTTAAAGTAACACGGTCGAACGAAGAAATGTATAAATAAAGATGGCCATTGTCCGTACTACACGACACGCCAAATCGAGTGGTCATTGTCGATCACGTGAATCAAATTAATTTGAATTGTATCGACGTCGATTATTGTATTGCAGTTCAGGGGCCACCAGGTCACTGCGAAGAGCATGTCTAGCTGACCGTATTGTTTCGAGCCATTTCTTCCTGTATTGAAGTACAAAAAAGAAATACCTACAGGCGACGAACAGGGCTTTGAAGAAGTCTTAAAAAATATAATTTTCCAGAACACGATACATTTCGGGAAAAACTGAAAATCTTTACGTTATCATTTAGGCAACAGGGCTGTGACATCACAGTACGAACGCGGTCGAAGGACTTTCAGGTTCGAACTCGTCGTCGCAATTTAGTCTGACATTTGTTTAATGATTAATAGATGAAATGAAGGTGTGTTTGTAGTAGATTCTGGTGTGAGTCACGAAGCCACGTTGAGTTATGAGGCATAGTTAATGGAGGCTGGAGGTGGTGCGGTACGGGCTAATTCGGCGCGGCCGAAGGCACATAAATTGTGTACGAGCGGCGCAAGCGCAGCGTGATGCCAACGAACATACGATCCGATCCGCTGCTCTAATTGACCAGATTTAGATATTTTAATATGAAAAACCACATTCAACTGACGAATACAAACAAAGAGTAGACGGCTATTGACTGTCAGAAACTGGTCTTACAAACATTTTAAATAAAAGTTTATATTTGTTATACTTTGGCAATATAATAAATTTGTTTCGTAATAGGTAAATAAATTATAGATAACTCGTTTTAGAGTCTGTCTAACAATATATTGAGAATGAATTATCTGGAATTGTGTCTGTTGTTATAGCAAAACATTTTGTCAAAACCTACGTAGCGCCACCCACCGTCGGCGTCGGCGCGCAAATCATATTCCCATGACGTGTGCAAGTGTATTGCTCAAGAGCCGGTGGTCCCCCGTCCAAAGTGGGTAAGAGACGCTCGAGCTCCCGCTATGGATCACGACGCTCGCACGAACGATCAATAACTTAGCATCAGTGGCCACCACAGCCCAGTAGCCAAATAACTAGCTCTAATCCGTATCGAATCTGTGGCGTTTCATAAACGTCAATAATACCTCCAATTGGATCGAAGTAGCCCCATAAAGTGAAGTTACACCGGTTGGCTCTTTTTTGTGTGGGAACATTTCGTTTTTCAATCGGAAGGTAAGGTTTTTACCAGCGGCGATAAATATCGGAACTTATGGCCGCGGCCGGCTTTGAAGTACGCATTATCCCGATTGCCGCACAGTTTCGGCGGCCCAGCTCCGTACATTTGTGCTATCGGTACTTTGTACCGGCGATATGAGCGCATATTTATGCGACACATTGCGCCTACGCCGGCAGGATAATCTCCGTTTTCACTTTGACAAATCGTCCGCTAAACTCACTACATTTAAAGAAACGAAATGAAAAAATCGTTAAGTAAAAGCAATCAGCGCAACTTGTTTCCGTAAATAGATATACATTTCAGTAATAAAATGTACAAATTAATAATTTAAGCAAACTTATTATTAAATTGTTACTTGTGAAGTGATTTATGCTCACGTACCTACATAACATAAATTTAAAAGATGGCAGAATAAGTGACAGCAATAGGTTTTGTAATGCAAGATAATTATAATGTATAACGCAAGGCTTTGGTAACAGAATGACGTCTATATAAGTATTTATGTGGTTTTCTTGTCGAAAACACAAATGTGTAGGTAGTCCAGAATAGCGCAACATATAAGCTCTTGTCACTTTGGTAGGTATATACGTTTTCCTTCCACCTACTGCGGTTTTATACAATGTTTTCTTGGAAGAGACCAGTGCATGTAAGGTATAAGCTAGGTAGTACGTAGGAGGCGGCGGTGGCTCCGCCCGCCAGCGGGTGCGGGTGCGGCGGGTGCGCGCGCGCAGTGCAGCGACACTCGGTGACTCTTGACTTTCTGCTAAGCTCCACAATGTAATTGAGCCGAACGAAATCCGGCCGGCCATTACCATACAATGGGCAGCAGTTCCGTCGCGCCCGCCGGGTCGCCGGGGGCAAAAAAACACTACCACTGCCTTGCCAGTACCTAACGTAACGTCGCAACTCGGCACCCACAATACTCTATAGTAATCTTTATTGTGCTAGACCTGAAGTCATAATAAATCGCAATGGATCAAGTGTGCGTCGTTTAAGTTGTCACGGAGAGGTTGGCAGGCGTCCATCGAAAGCAGCCCGTCACGAGCTCGAGGACTTTTTGACGTGACAAGTCGAAAAACCCGAGTATAAGTTACCGAGCGGCGAGCGGCGAGCGGCGAGCGGCGAGCCGAGCGTAGCACACTTTTGAGTTATTGCGACTTTTTGTCGGCGCAGCGCGAGCGTTGATCGATGGCCTTTGTTTACTATGCTATCTCGAGATCCCGCGTTAAGCCTTTTTGACGTTTAACTTTTATTTTCTTGTTGGAATATCTGAAGACTCCAACAGACGGTAGATTAATATTTTATCTCCGCCCGCAGTTGAAACTTTCGTTTTATCAGTTTTTGTGTGACGAATGAACCGAACTCTCTTAAAACTTTATAATGAAATATGAGCATGTATTCCTTCCTATATTTAGTCCAAATAAAAGTACTGCCTATAAATTCACTTCACACTGTAAAAGACGAAACAATTTCTCCATTTTAGAAAACGACAATACTTACTACAATGTAACCCAGCAACAGTCTGTCAATGCGCAGTGCAGCGCTTTCACGCATGCATAGTACGCACTGCGCAGCATAGCAAGTGCTCGGCATCCGGGTACAATCGGCCGCAGCGCCGCTTAACAATATTTGCTCTAACCGCCACTGCAGGGCACGCGCTTTCCACTGATTTCACCGGGCAATACGCAAATAAATAACGCCACTGTAATTGAGATGAGAGCTCAGCCAATACCGCTGTAGAGTGCAAGCATGTCAAAGAGAGCACGCACTTGTAGAGTCGCAGGAATGTGGAGCGTGAGTAATATAATTTTTCAATATTTCAGCTCTACTCGAGTACTAGGTTTTGAAACAAACCTAGGAGTTTGATCTGTCCGATAGATTTTTGCAATATACATTTGACTTTGTCAAAATATAAAGCAGTGTATGCACCATATTGGCAAATGTACTTTTATTAATAAATTCTCCATCTGTACCGTCAAATATAGCAGACAGATTCAGCGACAATTTTACCGTAAAATCTCCACATGACAAATATAAATAATACGAAGGCGCGTCATAGGCGAATATGCGCAAGTCCGGTAGCTGGATAAGCGGTGATTACTCGCTGCGCGCGCGTGACCCAACTGTTGATGACGCCGCCCGCGCCCGCGCCCGCATCAGCGCGGGCGCGCTGACGCCTGACGACGGCCATTCACAAAAATAGAGAGGATAGATTGAAAAGATTGTCTTCATCAACTCTACACCACAAGTGTACACTATATTTTTGTCCATATAACATATTCGGACTCAGAGTTATTATCCAAAATTTTTGCTAAGTAAATTTTAATTAAACTAGTATTCTTTTCTGTCTCTCTTTTGCAGTCGCATTCCTTACAGTACGTAAACATGTATACGTAGGTCACTCAATAAGTTTTGAGATAAAGAAAAAATATCAAACATATTAATATAATTTATTTTACATTTTTTCAAAATACTCTCCATAATTATCTACACAAAGTTTCATTCGTCTAAACCAACTCTGAAAACACTTTTGCCAGTCTTGATCCGTCAGCATTGAAATTGCCATTTCGTAGGCAGCCACTGCTTCTTCGACGCTCAAAAAAATTTTCCTTTGATTTTATCCTTCACTGTTGGGAACAAAAAGAAATCGCAGGGAGCCAAGTCAGGGCTGTACGGCGGGTGATTTAAGGTTTCTATACCAGATTCCTTAATAAACGCCTTTGTTCTGAGGGACGTATGTGAAGAGGCGTTATCGTGATGTAGCATGATTCCCCGAAGCCCGGTCTTTGGTCTCCTCTCCCGCACAGCTTGGAAAACTTTAGGCAATGCTACTGTTGTGTACCATTCTGAATTAACAGACCTACTATTTTCTAACATTGACGTCGACAAATGTCCGCTCCGAGAAAAAAAACTAGCTACCATTTTTCGCCGACGTTTCGAGGTCTTTGCAACTTTGTCGGTAATTGTCCCTCTGCGAAGACCCACACCGACGACAGCTTCTTGCTTTCTGGATCATATTGATAGATCCATGTTTCATCACCAGTAACGACTTCTGAAACACGTCTCGATGTCCCGTTTTCGAAACGTATAAGCATTTCTCGGCACCAATCCACTCGAGCCTGTTTTTCAGCACCGGAGAGCAATCGTGGGATCCATCGACAACAAAGCTTCCTCACTCCAAGATGTTGATGCAGGATAGTATTGACGCTCCCCGAACTAATACCTAGGATCTTGTCAATGTTCGTGTACGTGATTCGTGGGTCTTCTCGCACCAACATTTCAGATTGTCACACATTTTCTGCAGTAACTGCTGTTTCCGGGCGTCCGCCTCTTAGGTCATCTTCAAGGTTAGTTTTCCCTCTTTTAAATTCCTTAAACCACCTAAAAACTGTTGCACGAGAAGGAGCAGAGTCCTCTAATGCTGACTGCAAACGTTCCAAACTCAATTGTTTAGTTAAACCACATTTAAAATCATAGGAGATCATAGCACGCAAACGTTCACGGTTAAGATCCATTATTGTAAAGAAAAAGCGCGGGAAGCGTTGTAGTAAAATGACTAACAACGTCATTCTTTTTTAAATTTAGCTAAATTGCTTTTGGTGATCTATTTTGAAATAAATTTGCTTTTTAAAAACATATAATACGGGTGCGTTCCATTTTTAAATTTCGAGCATCTCAAAACTTATTGAGTGCTCTACGTAAAGAAAGGAAGACATTTACGAGTTACTACGTCTTCGCTGACGAAAAAATAATAATGAGAAAGAATGACAAAAAAGGAAATAACGGAACAAAAAATAAAAATCTTCACATTATTCTTTATTCTGAAAATTGCAAATTTGTGGAATGTAAACCCCCTTTATATTTAAATATAAGATTTCACTTTATACATACAGTGAACAAATTAAATATTCCATCATAAATATTAAATTGGTCAATATTATTATTCTGCAACCACGATTAGATGTCGCATATTTTGCAAATGGCAGAAGTTCAAGGAGAGCCACTTTTCATAGTATACATCAACCCGTTTTTATACATATATACGTGAAGCGGGTTTGAGATCCAACAGGTAAGGGTTACAACACTTGTATTCGCACCTTAATAAGACAAATTGATTTTATTTGTTTCGTTTTGCGCTATTGTTAATAATCAGAGGTAGGAATAAGAGTACATTTTCCACACGCAAAATAGGCGCTTTGTCGTCGAGTTGCGGATACCAGCCCGTTGCACCAAGTACCAAGTACCAAGAGTACATTTGCCTAAAATTCAAGTAATAAACATACAATCGATAAATCCTCTCTCTTCCCTGTGGAATTCCAAAAAATAAAAGTAAAACAAATAAAACAAACTAGTTATTTATACTTTCACTTACAAATGCGAAACTTTTCTTATAATAAGTTTGTGTATGGCAGTGACCGTAAAAAAGTAATCGCTTTTGTAAAAACACATGAAAATATAGACCGAAATATGATACAATATTTCCGAGATTTCAGAGGGAGGTGTTATTCACTCTATGTCTATACCTGTTCCAATCTCAGTTGATCCACACTCGTCAATAATTACCTCCTGCATACATGTAAGTAAAGAGCAGAAACTTACCTTGTCACCGGGGTTGCCTTTAAGAGACTAGTATACAAGGCCACGCGCGGTATCCATCTATCGTCTCTTGTTTGAGTTTGCAATTATTGTTTTGTGCAAGAAAGACTATATTGTATTGGAAACAAGTGCAAGGTCATACATCTTTTAGAAGACTGTGTATGAGGGACACCGTATGACAAACGTTATATATATCGTTGATATACCAACCATCCATTCGCACGAAGCGCTTTGCCCCCTCCTTGGTAATGCGTACGGCAAGAGAATGAAATACCCTATCGACACCTATATTCCCTGAAAACTACAACTCTATACGACTCAAGGCTAGAGGTAGTGTGCATGTTTTGGACAAACGAGAACCATCGCCGCCCATCAGGTGAGAATGTGGCCCAGCGTGTACCTATTTTTTATAAAAAAAGTAACAAATTCGCGAAAGAAAACCTAAGGACTGCAAAGATCTCGCCTCAGAATTAATATATACGATAGATGATGTGTTTTAAATCACTACAAAATACGTGATCACCTTTATTATGTACAAATGCACGTGTAAATTAATGAGCTGTATAATACCACCGCGAAGACACACAACGTGTCAGTGTTTAGTTTAAATAGGCATTATGAATATTGATTCAACTTAATTATACACTTGTAAATATTTAATGCAAATGGCTACCGACTTAATTTATTGTGGTTCTGTAACTGTACTTTTAATGCTGCTAAATTGGTTACGTTTTGATACATTTCAATGTCTTGGATTACACCTCAAGTTTTAAGCTTTAAGTTGCATAGACGTCCCAGATCAAGTTGCACATTTGTTGAGCCTATTCTAATTTATATTTTTGAAAGAAAACACTCCGGGGTAAATAATTTACTGTGGTATATACACTGATAGTGACATATGATTGATATAAACGAGTGCCTTGTTTTTTTATGACGCCAAGTGACGGGAAGAACAAGTCGTACGCCTGTTCATAAGCGACACGCCTGTCCATAGCTCCAGTCACAGCCACTCGCAAAGATCTTAGAGGCACTGCCACTGCACCCGTCACCTTGAAACATAAGTTGACAAGTCATATGTGCCTGTAATTTCACCAGCACCCTTACCCTTCAAAACCGGACAGCAGTAAAGCTCACATTGCTGCTTGGTGGCAGTACAAACTCTGTCACAAAAAGCTCTACTGCTACTAATTAATAAGTTTACGTCTGAGCCTATCAAGCACAATGATTACAGCAACAATTCTAAGTAACGAACTTAATTAATCATGTTGAGATCGAATACATTAACTTTTCATCATATCTCACATTTAGCTATGTCACAAACATTATGCAAAATTAGCCAATTACACTTTTGGCTTTTCTAGTCATAACACTATATTTGCGTTAGTTTCGACCAAACTCCAATGACGCTTATTATAAATTATTCATTTCTATTTCCATTTTATTTCCAACAGATTAAAGGGAGATATAACATAATTAAGAATTTTTAATAAAAAAAATAATCTCTGTATTCGGTTTCGCTGTAAATTATTTACAGTTGGGACTCGGACGCGTCGTAGACAATTTATAGACGAGATTATTCGAAATATGGAAATTAGAGACCAGACTCCGAGATGAAGCCGAGGATACGGGTAAATCAGTTTTTTTTAACTCATCTGTTGGCTACTAGTTTTGAAATACCTGATGTTCGACAAAAACAAGGTTAATTGAAGTTCCAAGAAACCACCTGCAATAACGCTTTCATATGAAACGTGGATAGTGTTAACATTTGTGCAATTTTTAATGCAAGTGCTAACGTGGTCCTAATTCAGAACGAACGCGTTTTTAAATTTTTAGTTTATATGGAAATTTTAACCTGCCACAGATGAGGAGTTGCAAGCTTTTGTTTGAGTTGGTCAATCAAAGTACAACAGAATTAAAACCATGATTTGATGTGACTATGCCTACAATATTGACTCAATTTTAATTATGTTGTTATTGGCGCAAAATCGTTAAAATAAGGAAACTAGGAAAATACGCCACCAGTAGCCTGTAGGTACTGTCTAAATGAATCAACTTAGATATAAAGGACTTTTAGTTTGTGTCATTACTTGTGATGAAAAATCTATTCTTTATAAAAATCATAAACGGTCGAGAAAGTTGTTGACCTCTAGCGGAAAAGAATCGTACCTGCTGAAAATTGTTGGTACAACTGCATACTAATACCATAGCTTTGATCTAGTCTGGCCTTAGGTCTGGTCCAACCATGACAGCTGATCACTATTGTGGAGATACCGATGGTGATGCCAAGACTCACGGAAAAACAACATGACTAGCGTTAACTAGTCCGGTTACGATCTGAACAAACCATTGGCCCCTCACAAGAATTGCAGATTCAAGCTCTATATTTAATCAATTTAGTTGCCCTAAAGCAGCCAAAAACGACTTTTAAGACTTTATGCATTTTCGATGTTCACTATTCTACCGCAAAGGAATAAATAAGCTTAAACCATATATCAGAAGTATATTATGACAAATATTTGTTTGTTTCTTTGAGTTTGAATCTAAAAAAAAACTATTTCATACTTTTTCTTGCGTGGCAGACGTCCACGCAACTGTGTACTAACAGTACCAAAACCGAAACTAAATCCTAGGCACCACCCAGAAAACAAAAAACACCTACCAGGAATCGAACTTGGGATTTCCTTATTTAGCATCCACATCGCAATTTTAGCCCCCATTGTAACTTCATACTGCATTGTAGAACAAACATGGTTATGGTGAAGTCCGAAGTAGCCAACTCTGCTCAAAACATAGTTGTTGTCGTCGTGAGGAGTTCTTGCAATCGATTGGCCGCTGGTTAGTATGCTGGTCGCGCACGGTGCGCCGCCGGGTACGATGCTCTATTTGGGTAACGCTCCGGTTATGGCGGGCGGACGTCTCGCGGCGACGAGTGACAGCGCGATGATACCGTGCGTGATGCATCCCGGCAGGACGCGGCGATGACTCGAGCTCATTTGTTTCGCGACCAACAAAGGAATGTCTCATAAAATACTAGGTCGAAGCGTAACCGTTATTGAACAATTCGTAGGATTACTTTTTGTCAAGTTAAATAAAACTTTAATGTTATAACTTGAAGTGTGCATACAACGAGTTGCATCAATCGACAATCCTAGTTATTATACATTTAGAAAATTTTAGTTTTAAAAGCAAATTTAGAAAACTTTGATCACGGTACTTTTATAAATGATAAACGAGTATGATTGTTACATAGGTAATATAAATGGTTTTCTGGTAAGATTTGTATTGTTATGAACATTGACTAGGTAGAGCAACATTTCCGCATATGGCACTATAAACAGGAGGAAAGCATTTCCCTGACACGGTTTCCCGCAGCAGCAAGGTCGACGGCCGCGCCACGGTCGCGTCCCGCCGCCGCTCCGCGCCCTTCCCGCGCCCGCGCATAGATCTTGCGACATCCTGCCAACGTATTCTCCTGCAAGGCCCCTGGAATATTCGATACAAGCATATATCGAGGCTAGAGCCCTGCGAAAGCAATAAATTGTATTTTTTAAGTGCTGTATGATCTTCACATAGCAGCTGCTGTAAAGTTTTCGAAAGAGGCAAATAGTTAAAGTAAATTGATTGCTCAATATCATCACAAACACATAGAGTAACAAAGCAAAACAACGAGAGTTATTTAAGT